TCTCACAGAGACAATTTTAAGAACATTTTCCTGCATGGCTTCATTATTCCCAGACATTTTTATATGATATCTGTATTTTATATAAAATAATATTCTCTATAAAAATCTTATTGCATCCTTTTTAGAAATCATGTGTTCTAAAGCTGGTTAACCATAGAGAAGCACATTATAAGCTGGTTAACCATAGAGAAGCACATTGATTTAAACTCTGAAAAAAAAAACCATAGTTCAAAACTGCTCAAGGCAGCAGTTGGTATGCTAAAAAATACAGTTTTAAGTGTGTGTCTTGTCAGTGACTTTCAATTTATCAGAGTATCAGTGTTTTCATTTTTCAATTTTCTTCATTCCCACCTTTTTCCTTCTATGATATTATCCTGCTTTATCAGATGAATTCAATAACTGCTGAGTATCAACACAGTGGCTTTTCCCCAAGGGATACAGGTCATTAAGAAACCAGCAGACCATTTCATTAGTGTACATTACTCTGCATCTGTTGCGTTCATTAACCCTGGGCATCATCTGCCATTGCATCTTATTCATTTTGCTTCTGTCTTTTCTCTATCCCTTAACAGGAGTGCAGTCCTTCTTGTTATGCTATCTAGCCTTCTCTGCCCTCAGTAATTTTCAGGTCATCTGCAGGTTACACTGGCACCACTCTAGTTTACAGTGATGCCTAAAGAAAAATATATTCCAAGTAGTTTCAAATGGATTCCTCAGCATCCCACAGGGCTTTGGTTTCTATTGCAAAGCTCTTCTGTATTGCAGGTGCCATTTCTCAAAGTCATCACTTCCACCTCCGTTATTGTTCTGCTGATATACAGATTTATTTTTTCCAGCTCAGCAGGCACTGGGGAAACTGTTCCAGCTTTAATTGTGTGCCTAAGGTGCTTCTGGCTCCTTTCTTTCCATTCAGCAAGACCATCTGGTTGGTGAGGTTCAGCAATCCAGAAATGCTGTGGACTTTTCCAGTCCAAATATTTGGTGCAACACACATGCACACCCCCAAATTTTCCAGATCTCAGTACAAAGAAAGCTGTAGCTTGGTAGTAAAGCATGTGATTACCATGCAGAATGTCTCTGGTAGGGAAGGAAAATCCACCTCAAACCTCTGGAGAGCCACTGCTGGTCAGAGTAGCCAATACTGGGCTAAGTTATTATTATTGTATTATTTTAATTTTATACTATGTAAGCCATCCTGAGTGCTTATGCGGAAGGACGGGATACAAATACTTTTAAAAAATGGGTTGATGATCTCATTTGGTATATGGCAACTTCTGTGTTTTATTGTTTGATGTACAGGATGTTTTCAATTTTTTAAGTCAATTCTTTTCATCAGCCTTGCAGCAGAGGATGCAGAAGAGATATCTACTCCTGAACTTCTCAAAAGGAATCAAAAGAATTAAGGCAGTAAATTGTGCAGACTCTTCCACAGAGTCATTGTGGGTGACAACACCTTTGTCCAAAACCAATTTAGTCATAGGGATATACAATCATCCCCCAGACTCACACTCTGATTGGATAAACGTATGCTCCAGCTCTGATAAAAGGGTTAAATTTCTCAATGTCCTAAATGAGTGTGCCTTAGAACAGCTTGTCATCAAACTGATCCCGCTACCTGGGATTGCCCAGTACGTATACTACAGGATGTAAATGTTGCTCATCCAATTGGAAACAGTGGGCACAGTGTTATCAGATTTAATATATTTAGGGGGAAGAGTGCTAAAGGAGTCCAACACACTCATGCCTTCAAAAGAGGAAACTTCTCTAAAATGAGGGAACTGGTTAAAATATATATATATTGAAAAGGGGTGTCAGGAGGGTTAAATCCCTTCAAACTGCTTGGAGAATGTTCAAAACCACAGTAACGGAAACTCAGATGGTATGTATACTACAAGTTAGGGAAGGTAGCAACAAGTCCATGCGGTCAACAGCACAGTTAGCAAATAGAGTCAAGGAAGCTGTTAGATCAAAGCAGGCTTCCTTCAGGAAATAGACCAAATGAGGAAAACAGCAGGGAGCACAAGCCTGCACAAGGGAGATACAGGCAGAAAGCAGCTATTGGGAAGTATAAAAATGTAATAAATACATAAATACATAAATGAAGCAAAGATACATTTTGAGGAGCATATTGCTAAAAACATCAAGGCTAACAATACAGAATGCTTTAAATAAATCAGCAGAAAGATACCACCTAGAGAGGTAGTTGGGCCATTGGATGATAATGAAATTAAAGAAGAGCTGAAAAAGGAGATTGCAAAGAAACTGAATGACTTCATCTGCCTTCACAGGCGATAATACAGAACAAACACCTGTTCCTGAACTCATGTATTCAGGAAGGGAATCTAAGGAAATATGCCAGATACCATGAAAAAGACAAAATTTTCAACCTTACTGACAAAAAGTTGGTAAATCACCAAGCCCATATAGTATCCATCCTACAGTTCTTAAAGAATTCTAACAGGAAATTAATGGTCTTCTTACCAAAATAGTTAACATGTTCATGAAACTAGTCTTTGCACCAGAGGATTGGAGAATGGCCAACATAACACCAATTTTTAAAATGTGATCCAGGGAATTACAGTCCAGTCAGCTTAAGATCTGTTGCGGGTAAATTGCTTGAAAGCATTATTAAAGATAGAATCAGTAAGCCCACAGAGGAACAAGTCCTGCTGAAACAGAATCAGCATGGCTTCTGCAAGGTTTCATCCTGTCTCACTAATCTCTTAGAGTTTTTGGGAGTGCCAGTAAGCATGTGGACGGGTGCAATCAGGTTGACATTGTTTACTTACTCTTCCAAAAAGCTTCTGACCTTCACAAAAGTCCTTCACCAAAGTCTCCTGACCAGGCTTAGCAGTTATGGAAAGAGGAACTCCACTTATGGATCAATAGCTGGTTAAAGAACAGAAAGGAGAGAGTGTGAATAAATGGCAATTTCTCCCAATGCAGGCTTTTGTATGAAGACAAATGCTTTTCAGCCTATTTATAAATGATCTGGAATTGGTAAAGAGCAGCGAAGTAGCCAGGTTTGCTGATGACACCAAACTATTTAGGGTGGTTAAAACCAAATGGGAGTGTGAGGAGCTCCATGGTGGAGGAGAACAGGCAACAAAAGGGCAAATGCAGATCAGTGTAAGCAAGTGGAAAGTAATGCGTGCTTGCATGCAAAAAGGGATCTTGGAGTGGTGGTGGACAACTTGATGAAAATGTCCACTCATTGCACAGCTGCTGTGAAAAAAAGGCAAACTCCATACTAGGCATGATGGGGAACAGCATGAAAAAACAGAACTGCTTCCTATATACAAATCTTTGATGCAAACACACTTGTGTTCAGTTCTAGTTGCCTTACCTGAAAAAGGGCATTGCTGAGTTGGAAAAAGTGCATAGAAGAGCAAGTAAAATGATCAGGGGACTGGAGCAACTCCCCTGCAAAGAGCAGCTACAACAATTGGGATTGTTTAGCTTAGAAAAAGACAAGGGAAGACACAACAGAGTTGTTAAAATAATGCTTAGTGTGGAGAAACTGGAAGGGGAGAATTTTGCTCCCTCTGCCCTAACACTCAAACCCAGGGTCATCCCATGGGGCTGATTGGTGGGATGTTCAGGACCTGTGAAAGGCAATAGGTCATCACACAACATCTAAATAAGCAATGGAAATCAATGCTTTAAAAGGGGATTGGACAGATTCATAATGTGGGAAGCTATCAGTGGCCACTAGCTTTGCTGGCTATGAGATACCTCTTTTCCCAGAGCTGCATGGCTGCATATACCAGTTTGCTGAGGCGCTTGGGCAGATGAAAGTCGTGTACATATCCCACTTAAGGGATCCTGTGGGCAGCTGTTTGCCACTATATGAATGGCGTGCTGGACCAGATGGACCATAGGTCTGATCCAGCATGGCGGTTCTAATGTTCTTAACTGTACTTCAGCTGGGCAGGTACTTACTATTAGTGTGTGCTGCCACTAAGGCCATGTCTGCACTATAAAATCAATTTGTTTGCATGTACGTTTTCAAGCGACAGCATGAAAACTACAGATGGTGCTGAGCTGCGCAGCAGGAACAATGAAGACTCCAGAATCTGCAGAGTGCCAAGTAGAGATTAGTTTTCTTTTGTCCAGTGGTTACTGTAGTTGCTGCAAAATCTGTGTCTTCCCCTAGGCACATATAATTATCTCCAGCATGTGTCTTCCCCAAGAGGTCCCTTGTATGTAATATGCCTGGACAACTGGACAACTCAGCAGTTTTGAAACTATTCCATGCCTCCCTGAAAAGGGACACTTACAGTCCAATACTATGCATGTTTAGACATAAAAAGTCTTGCAATTTTCTTGTCAAAAATCAGTGACTCCCAGTTTGAAAGCTGCAGCTCAAATGAGAAAATGATGCTTTCCCACCCCTTGCAGTATTTGAGATACGGTTGATGCCATCTTATTTCTCAGAATGGATCCAGTTGCAGCTGTTGCCTGATATACAGTCCAGGAAAATGAAGGTAGCTGTGTTGGCCAAAACAGCAAATCAGAAGAAAATGTCCAAAATCTGTATCACCCTGTTGCCTTTATTTAGCCAACTCAGAGATCACAAACTACTGCACAAGCTTTCAGATTCTCCAGAATGCTTCATCAGGGAAGATGGTGAGCAAAGCAAAATAAAAATAAAAAATGGGGGGAGCAGGAGGAATAAAAAGCATCTGATGCTTAAGCCACAGAACATTTGGGTATCTTATTTGTTTTGCTTCACTGTCTCAGCTGATGAAGCACTCTGGAGAACTTGAAAGCTTACATAATATTTCGTACGAGTAACTTTGAATTGCTCTCAAAGTCACTAGTCTGATGAGGATTTTAGATATTTTCTTTTGGGAAGAAGATCCTGTGAGGAAGACTCAGAAATGAGAAAAAAAAAATTTTTTTTTTGTTTATTTTTTGATGCTTAAGAAGAGCCTGAGAGGTAGATAGGGGACCCTCAGAATAGTGGCCAAATGATGCCTTTTTTCTTTTTCTTTTAGGCTGCCTTAGCAGGAGGCACTACCATGATCATTGACTTTGCAATACCTCTGAAAGGATGCTCCCTTGTTGAAGCCTATGAAAAATGGAGAAGCTGGGCAGATCCCAAAGTCTGCTGTGATTATGCCTTGCATGTGGGTGTCACATGGTGGAGTGACAAGGTAATGTAAACTGAATCCCGCTGGCATATTGGTCCTTCAGGAGTGTTCCGCATGCTGAACTCCAGAAGTGCAGAGTTTCTGGACAGGTGTAGTGGGAACTACAGGTCTAGCAGTGGCGTATCAGACCCTGCAGCGTAGAAGTGAAGCCCTGCAAGGCATGGGGAGGGGAGGTTGATCTATAGGACGCACTAAAGTGACCAGGGAGTGAGATGCATTTTTACACTGCAACAGTTCCTAATTTTCTTTATGCAAAAAACATACACAATCCCCCTCCCCCCAACCCTCCCCCTGAAAATCCAATCATATTCTACCATAATTATTTCATACTAGAATATTGTGTAATTCTTCATTACAGCGTTTCATGAACTTCTCTCTTGAAGAACATCCACTGGAGTAGTGAAAGCAGGGTGCCTGCAATGTTATGCAAGAAGTCATTTTTGTTTTCTGCCCATTCCACTTGGATTTGCACGTTCCCTTCGAGCTTAGCTGAAGCCTTGCAGTAGCAGCATGAGGCAAATGTATTTTCCCAACAACAGTAGATTGTTATGATGTAATACATAGTATTTTGGGGGGTGGCTTGATCTTGAATGTGCAGTTAAGACTGATTAGTTTTACAAAACACCTGCTCCTAGTAGAAATGAAAACTGCTAGAACTGGTGTGTTGATATTGAACAAAGCAGCTGCCTGCAATTTGGGTCTTCTTATACACTCCAACTGTCATGATGAGTGCCTGTACTGCAGAATTTATCACTACACCACTGGGGTTGTCTTGGGAAGTTCTGCTAGCCTACAGATCACTAAAATTCCTGAATAATACACCCAAAGAATAACATACAGTAATTCAACAAATCAGGCAGATTTCCATGCAAAAGTAATCAGACCATTTAGGTTGGATATAAACATTTACAGCAGACTTTAAGAAAAAAGGCATAATAATTTAATTTTTGCCTACATAAAAGTATGATATTTTCATTAAAATATATATGAAATAAGCTAACTATGGCTTTCAGACTTGATGCTTTTGGCTAAGCTTTTCTGTATCAGATTGTCTGCTGAGAAACCCCAGCTTATTGCAGTGGATTCTGGGATATGTACTAAGGCCTCCTCTCAGATCTGGTTGTGGGCTGGGGGCATTCTTAGCAAGCTAATTGGGCTTCAGTATAGCCATGCATAGGTACTTCTGTTTCCTGTTTGTACCACTTTTTCAGGTGTTCATTCATAAGTCCATTCTGTACCTTTTCTGTACCAATCTGTGATTTTAAAAGAGCGCAAAAGTGCGTTATTTTAATGTACTTTTCACCATGTGCAGAACTTTGTATGAATTTTATCATATAATTCTATTATTGAATGCATTTTATACTCAAGCCTGCATTTTATGATCACCTAAACAGAAAATATTCTTTTTTGTGTACATTTGGTGCATTTTTGGGATGTGTTGCAAAATGTGGAGAAGTGCAAAAATGGAAGGATAACTGCTCTCTGATCTGTGCATTCGTGAAGGAAATGGAAATTAAGTCAGTTTGCTTAAAAATGCAGACCAAATGAAATCCTTGGGAATCCTTAATTATAGTTTTGGCTGAGAGTGTAGCCTAGAATAAACCTGTTTCCATCCTATAGATGCCAATTGCAGACTAAGACTAGCAGTGAATGGAAATCTCTTTTTCATTGAAACTTTCTTGTCTGTAATAGTCTTCACAGTGGGAAACTTCTCATAAATTTTCAGAGATTTCTGGAACACACTTGGCAAATAATTAGCTTATCATTATATGCAAATGCTTAATAATTACCTTGGAATCTCTCTTGCAGGTCTTTATTCCTCAAACAGCATTACAGACATTAAAATTTCTTATATCAAGATATATCTAATCAATAATGCAACCATATGACCTCTAGTCAGAGTCTAGATAGCCATAGGATTTTTTGGAGACCCATCAGCCATGTAATTGTTTTGCAGGTTAGGAGAAGCATGGCGGCAACCTTTGTGTTTACACTTTTTTTTTCATTCTTCATAGAGTGAAATGCTCATAATCCTCCAAGTTCAGAAGGTTCTGGGTGTCTAGATTCAATTGGTGCAAAACAGAGCTGCCAGATTGCTGACGGGGACTGGGCGTTGTTCTCATATAACCCCAGTCCTCCGTCAGCTTCACTGGCTTCCCATTGAAGTCCGGGCCCAATTCAAGGTGTTGGTTATCACCTATAAAGCCCTCAGTGGCTTGGGTCCTGGTTATCTAAAGGAGCGCTTGCGTCCATATATGCCCTCCCGCCCCTTGAGATTGGCGGCAGAGACCCTTCTCCGGGAACCCTCCATGAAAGATATTAGGAGGGTGAGTACCCGGAGGAGGACCTTCTCTGCAGTGGCACCCCATCTAAATTGTATTTATTGGTTTTTATATTTATGCCAAGATGTCTCCGGATTTTTAGGTTATTTGTATGATTGTTTATTATTTGTTTTGTAAGCCGCCCCGAGGCTTTTTGCGAATGGGGCGGCGTAGAAATGTCCTAAATAAATAGATTGCACTGTAAACACTGAATATTCTTTGTTGTTTTTAGGTCAAAGAAGAAATGAAAATTCTTGTCCAGGAAAAAGGGGTCATTTCCTTTAAGATGTTCATGGCATATAAAGATCTCTATATGGTCAGAGATGAAGAATTGTACTCTGCTTTCTCTCAGTGCAAGCACCTTGGTGCAATTGCTCAAGTCCATGCGGAGAATGGAGATTTGATTGCAGAGGTAATTTCCTGATTTCATGATTACGTGTGAACTTCAGTGCACCCCAAATAGATTGCAACACTATGTTGTTTTTTAAAATAGAAAATAAAACACTGCTCAGGAATTAATCCCCCCCCCCCCCGCATTTAGAGAGGATATGCAGAGGAGAGACGGAGGTGGAGACTGGGCAATTTGGGCCCACCTGCAAGACCACTGCCCTCCTAGCCAGACTACACATGGCTTGCTCCCAAGTGCAGAATGGTTTTTCAGGAAAAGAACAGAGAGTAGAGGGGCTTTCAGCCCTTCACTCTCAGTCGTATCCCCAGTCCAGATTGGGCCACCAGCACTTGCCATTTGTAGACAGCATGGCTCTTCCGACATGCTTATAATTTCTATTTAGTTTGCTAGCTGGTCTGCAGTTGCTGACCTTGGTAACACTGCATGTATCTTGCTCTGGCTGGCCTGCAGGGGGCAAAGAAGATATTAGCCCTGGGAATCACTGGTCCAGAGGGACATGAACTATGTCGCCCGGAAGAAGTAGAAGCTGAAGCTACGCTGAGAGCAATCACCATAGCAAACTCAGTGAACTGCCCTCTTTATGTAGTTCATGTGATGAGCAAGTCTGCAGCCAAGGTGATAGCGGATGCACGAAGGCAAGGTATGTTACGGCTGGACGTGTCTGAAGGTGCTGATGAGGTCTTAGAGTCTGACCCTTCTTCCCTGGTGTCAAGAGGAAGCAGCTAAACCCTGATAGGAAAGGAAAAGGTAGGTGGTTGGCCTGCCCAAGTTGTCTTTCACTTTAAGAATGATAGGAAGAACCTAGAGTTGAACCATTTCCTGTCTGGGTGCAAGAACGCCTGGGCTTACTTGGTATGCAGGCATCTCATGATATAGTAGGGTAGCCGTTCCACATCTGGGGAGCACCAGCAAGGGGAAATGGGAGAAGTACCTTTAAAGAAACAGGAGAGACACTGCAGCAAAATTCATCTCTTGTTTTTCATAAGAACTAGGAAGTTTCGTTATACCTTATATAAGATCATTTGGCTGTCTAGCATATTGCTATCTGCAGTAAAAACCCCACATCCACTGTTTCAGTTGTTATGGTTTCACTGCACCATAGCTGACTACAGTCCAAAGAAATTAAATAGAAAATTTCAGAAATACAATAAACATTCATAATTTAACCTGTGTGCCGTTCTGAGTAACATGATGAAATCACAGGATGTTAAGCATCCCTTTGTCCAGCGTATCCATACACAGCCGTTAGTCACTCAGTAGCTGTCTTAGTTATCAGATCAACTGATAGCATTGCAGTGCTTGTGTTCAAGTAACCCTTATTTTGCTTAATACTGGTCCCGAAGTACAAGAGACATGACACTGGAGGTTCAGATGTGTCAAAGAGAAGTTGTTATTATTGTTCTCAATGTCTTGTTTAACTTATTCAAATTGACATTAAATAATGTCTTACTTAATTTATAAATTAAACTTTATCATGGGTTTGTACGGCATGTACAGTATATAGTGTTTGCTACTATCTGTGGTTTCAGGAATCTGCCACAGGGATTGGAACCTCTCCGCTGCCTGGGAGATGGGAGTTAATAGCATTTATATAATGTTAAAATTTCATTGCACTTTTATTCTTGGCCTAATGAATATTTCTCCTCAAATTTCAGAATTCAGTGTGTAGTCAACAGTTACTCAGTCAATAGCCATAGAAAACCAGCCTTTATTTAGCTTTTATTTAAAAATGGCTCATGGTGTTCTGAAAACCACAATCCCAGGGACTGACAGCATCCCTATTAGCTGGCAGAATTATGATGTCACTAGTCAGCTTTTCATATAGCTCTGATGAAAAAAATCTTCAGATATTTATGCTGAAGTAACCTGCAAAACGAAGCAGCAATATGTCGACATAGGTGGTAACATGTTGCACATGTGAAAATATGCACCCTGTGGAGAAATGATTAAGAATATTGCCAACCATGAATATCACCGGCAACTTCAGCCTGTCTCCATATACTTAAAGTGAATGGCATTTCCCCTTTTAGCCACAAAGAAAACACTACCAAAATATTTTTATTTATTTATTCATCCATTTATTTAAAATATTTATATGCCGTCCTGTCGCAAAAGCCTCAGGACGGCTTACATAAATGAAATAACATAAAATGTAGCATGAATAAATTACCTACCCACACTGGCTGCAGTTAAAAACATATAGGAGACAATATTAAACCTTATTAAAATATTGCTGAAATAAAAAGGTCTTAACCTGGCGCCGAAAAACAAATAATGATGGCGCCAGGCAGACCTCTGTGGGCAAGCACTGCCTCCAAGCTTGTTTACTTGGTATCTCTTTTTCAACCTAATTTAAGTGCCCTAAGATGCTTTCAGGTGAGGCTTTATTGCACCATCACTGCCTTATTCATGGAGTTTTACAGGGGTCCAGACAGCAACATCTGCTGCTTGTATTCCTCTTGAGTTTTCCTTCCTCTAGTTTTTTTTCTTACCATGGAAGATCTGTCAAGGAGCAAAGGATGGAATGCCTGCATACTGGCTCCTGACTGGTAGCACTAGCGCTTCCTTAGTATGGAAACACCCAAAGATTTCTCCCATCTACAGCAGCATTGAGTCAGTACATGAGAAGCTGAGGTAAAGCAACCACTCCCAGTCCTCCAACGGATGAGTATCTGTACAAATATGAGACTCCTCATACAAACTGAAAGTAAAAAGAAACTTCCCACTTATATACCATGTTACACTGGTTTTGCACACAAGATGTCACTGTTGACAATATTGTGAATTCCACTTTACTGATTTGCCTTTGAAAAATTATTAAATCAAGTGGCATCAAAATTAAATTTAAGAAACTGCGAAATCAGCCAAAATATGTAGGTCAGAGCAAAATAAATTTATCTCAAGGCAGTCTAAAAGTTTCAGAATAGGAAGAAGTAGGATGTTTACACTGCATCATGCAGTACCAGTCTCTATTTTGCAGTGATATGTTCTACTGTATCCTTATGCATCCTTTTTGGCATTACTTACACATCTTAAACTACATACATTACCATCCTTCCTCAGCCCAATGCCCTCCTGATATGTTGGACTACAAGTCCCATTGTTCCATGGCAGCTTGATAGTTGGCCAGCTAAAGAGTATGGGAATTGTAGTCAACACATCCAAAGTCCAGCAGGTTTGGGAGGATGCCTGGATGATGAAAAAGCAAGCAATCATTCTACCCCTTCTTTTCCAAGACAGATAGGCAGAAGATGGAGAGAGATGCCATCTCTCTCCAGACTGTTGTCGCATCTGTTTAAGAAGGATGGAGGTATAAAAAGCATACCTGGGGCTGGAACCAAAGAAATCTTGCTTGAATAGTGAGTAGACCACTCACTGTACAAAGAAGTTAGGCTGTAAATGCCAAAAGGAAAAACAATGGCATTTCTAATTCAGTTCTATGCCTGTGCCTTATTCTCTCAATTTACCACCTGGTCTCATAGGCTGAGCAAGCAGTTGTTTGTTTACCATGCCATATAACTAAGTCAGGGATCATGGTTTCCACATCCATCAAACTAGGGCTCCTCTCTTGGTTTGTTTTTTTCAGGCAGAGCTGAGAAGTCATTGCATTCGAAACCTACATTGTATTTGCTGTCTTAAAACCAGACTACTTGTGTTTAACTGGGTTGCAGAACAGGCTGTTAATTACAGATAAGCAAGACCCATAATGCTAGATGTACCAGTGATTAAGCATTAACATTGCTATCTTTTTTTCTTGTCTCAGGGGTGATCTTTAAATTAATAGTGACATAGAAACTTCTGTGCCTTTTTTCCTGAGAAATCCCAAGCATCTTGATGCATCTCTGCTCTTCACAGATGAATTAGGCAAATGCAGCTTTTGTTGAAAGCCTAACCTCAAAAAATTTCAGATTATGCTAGAATGGAATTGCTTTTATATATTTACAGTGCAGTCTAAACATGTGTGCTTAAAAGCAACTCTGTTGAGTTGATGTGGACTAATACCTGCGTTGAGGATTCCTGATTAAAAGTGTTGTCCCTTTAGATACAGTTTCTTCAAATTAATTTGGAGTGAAATGAATTGGGGAATATTTTCTGCTTTTCACTCATAAGCATCTACTTTTAAGAACATGGAAGGTCGAACAGTAAAAACCTGTGGTGAACATCCTCATCCTACTTTAATCACTGTTCATAGGCATTGCAGGGTTATTGATAGTGTTTCAATAACCTGCCAATTCTCTTTGACCAAAGATGATGGAGTAGTGCAAAAGAAATGTGCTTTATTTATTTATTTTACTTCTATACCATCCATAGCCAATGCTTATTCTACTTCTATACCATCCGTAGCCAATGCTTACTTTAACTGTGTTTATATTCCTCTTTGACTGTGTTTGACTGTGTTTATATACCTCCTTTCTTTCAGCATAAAATGAGTGCCCCATCAGCAGTGCACCTGCGCCTCTTGTCCCAGACTGAACTTGGGACAAGGCACCATGACCAGGTTGCCCTATCACATGCCCCCTTCAGTTCCCTCTAAAAACATCTGCTACTGCTGTCACAGTGTGTTGGGGTCCATTCAGCAGCAGTACAGATACTGCGGGCGGGATGGATTACTTCTCCCTTCTCAGTCCTTTCCACATACAACATTTTCTCTGGAGGGCTGGGGAGTCCTGTGGAGCACATTTCTGGAACACAGAGGAAGTGGAGGTCCTGTTGCATGAGCAAAAGTCAGCTCACACAGTGCTAGATGGAGTCCAGAGTGCTACTGCTGTATTGAAACACATAACACTGGAGGGGATTAATAGGTAAAACTTATTTCACCTTTGTATTAAATTGCCTCCTAATACACATGCAAAAACATCTGTGAGTTCTGATCAATTTCAATTGCAAGAGTTATCCTTAGTGTTGTTCAGGGTGACTTTCCGTTTCTGCAGGTTTTGCTGTTGTCCCTGTTGTTGTAAAGGGTCCCTCGATTTTGTGCATATCCTTTCCTCATTATTAAATTTAAGAGGACATTGAACAGCTCTTGGAATGCACAGATGTCAGAATGAGATGAAAATGGCAATGTAGCTCCATGTTCTCTGTTCATCATAAGCTCCTTGTTTCTGGTTTGCTGTATCTATATGGACTGGGTCACACACGCCCATATATTATTTGATTTCTCAACAGAAAATAGTGCCTCATTTGCTTTTTGTTTGTAAATTAAGTCCCTCAAATTTTCCTTGACTTGGACTCTATTATAAGGGAGTTTGAATGATGTAACCTCAGCAACCACTCGTCCAGCTATGTTGAATAGTTTTCAGCTTGCAGATCTCGATAGAGTATATGAATTGATGAAGGCCTCCACCTGCGTACTCAATGCTTGTCTTTCTTGGCAGGTACAGTGGGAAAAGATATTAGTAATGCCTCTTTGTGAGAGGAAAGTCTTCCTTCTTGTTTAAAAGAGCCAGCAAAAAGACCTTTATGAAAGAAATCTCCCCTTGGCCTAATAGATCTCTCTAATTGTAGGCCAGTCTCAAATGTATCTTGCTTGGCTCCAGATGCATCTGAATTAAACTTCTTACCTGGACCCATTTCAACCATTCCTTTCAGCCAGGATACGGGATTGAGATTGCTTTGCTTGCCAAGGAAAAAGACCTGTACAGGAAAGTGGATGTGGGGAGCATAGACCCTATTAATTTCTTGGACCTCTAGGCAGCTTTCCATACTATAAGCTGCTGTCTTTCTGGACTGTCTGGCAGGCTTGGGCTGGGAGCTGTTTTGCAGTGGCTCTAGTTCTTTTTGTCAGGCCATGCCCAAAGGTGATACTGTTGGACTCCATGACCATTTAAGTTACTCAGGACTAACTTGCTTCCATTCATTTCTACCTGTTATTAAGTCTGGATGCAGCCCACTGTATGGTCACACACACTTTTTTCCTTAGGGAAAGTTGTGTATGGGGAGCCTATAGCTGCTGGTCTGGGCACAGATGGAACACACTACTGGCATAAGGAATGGTCCCATGCGGCCGCACACATCATGGGCCCTCCGCTGAGGCCAGATCCTGCCACTCCAGACTACCTCATGAGCCTTCTAGCAAAGTAAGCATGCTCAGAATCCATGCACAGCTTTCATTTCTAGCTAGGGTTTTTAAATTGTGTTCTCTTGGGGTGTTTTTTGTTGTTGTTTTTGTTGCTAATGCTGCTGTGTATTTTAATGCTATACTTGATTTTTAGTCTCGTAAATTATTGTTGAGATACAGTATTCTTTGAAGTAAGCTGCTTTGAGAAATTCATTGGACAAGCAAGGTATATGTAACTTAATACATTAGATAAAGATAGCAGCTACATGAAAGTCTGCTGGTGACGTCTGCAGTATAGACATACAGAGAACATAATGCTTACTATGTGTTGGGCTGCTTATATGCTCTTTCCCATGGGTTATAGCCAAGAACAGGAGGAGCCAGACATTTCTAGAGAGAGCCACACCAAGAGATCTTTGCCTGCCACATTTCCACTCTGATACGGAAACCTGGTAAAGCTCAGCGCACCCTCTGGTTGGACATGATACACAGCCAGATTCCTGTTTGCCTATATGTATCCCAAAGTGCATTTGAAAGTGATAACTGTGTGTTAAAAGGCTGGTTTGTTTCTTAAGATGTTTATCCCCTTTTTGCACATCAAAACTCCAAACCAATTTACAGTGTTTTAAAATGCTATTTTAAACTCTTCTTCCTTTCCTCTTCCTTCTCAGTTCCATAAGAACCTGCCTCATACTAAGCCTCATCATGGGTACAACTAACTTTGCATTGGTTTGGACCCAAACTTAAGGTGCAGTCCTGTGCAAGTTAGACATTTAAAAAGGCCTACATTTCCTAGTGTGCTACAGCTACTTGATTTTTTTCTGGATTTTTAAAATTTTATCTTTTATTTAATTTATAAAAAATTATTTTATTTATAAAAAAATAATTTATTTTATTTTATTTTTATTTATTTATTTAAAGTTTTTATATGCCATACAATACTAGAGTCTCTGGGCAGCTTACAAAAAAGTAACTGGATGTCTTACAAAAAATTAAATAAATAAAAATGGCAAGTTAAACCCAGTTGTTACCTGGTGTGTTGGCCAATATGAGAGCCAATATGGTGTGGTATTTAGAGCACTGGTCTGGGACTCAGGAGCTGGGTTCTAGTTCCCTCTCAACCATGGATCTCACTGGGGACTCTGAGCCAGTCACAGACTCCTAGCCTAACCTACCTCACAGGGTTATTGTTGTGAGGATAAAAAGGAAAGAAGGAGACCCTTGTAAGCCACCTTGGGTACCTTTAAGAGGAAGAAAACTGTGGTAGAAATGCTATGTAATAATAGCAACATGCTTTGGACAGTGCTGTAAAGCAACCAGAAGTAATGAACATGCCTTAACAAAAATGATGCATTCAAAACCTAAACTGAAGAGAATGACAATTGCATAGGAACTTTAATTACAAGTTTTACAGTGATATAACACAGAAATAATAGCTCCCCCACATAGGCCTAGTTCTGGGAAAATCTGCAACAAAATAAATCCAATGTGATTTGGCATGAAGCGCTTCATCAGTGGACTAATTACGTAAGACCAAATCTGTGAAAAGCAACCATTTGAAGTTAGCACTCCTAAAATAAAAACCAAGGGGTTAGATCCAGTGCTGGCCATATTCTGTCAGAGCAGTTTTCTTCTCTCCCTTCAGCCCCTCCAAGAGTATTCCTCCTTGAACTTCTCCAGCAGATTGTGGGCAGAAATCTCATTGCACATACTGAAGTCCACCTATGCCATACTGGATCCAAGCCCACATATGTACTTAAAAACTACCACCCTAAACCTCTGGTGTATACATGCAAATATTTAAAGGTGAAAGAACTAAACTATTATCTTCAGACACTTTTTTTTCTAAATGACCATACTACATACACTGACTGTTTTCAGAAATCGTTAGCTTGGATTAGGCAAATATCTCAATTTCCAGGCTACAAAGTTATCTCAAAATTTACCAAATAATTATTCCTTAATGTAATTGCCAGGGGGGAAATCCAAATAATGGTTACTATTGTTTGCATTGTCCATAAAGACTGTTTTCTCCCATCTTGTAGATTGAGTCAAAGACAGTGATAAAGAAGTGGTTTCCTTTAAACTCCTGGTGAGTTTGTGTCGAGGTCTTGTTTGTGTCATGTTCTCTGCATGACAACCATAAACTGTGAATTCCATTACTTTAATTAACCACTTCTAAGAAGTGCAGACAAGCAGAACCAACCAACTACAAAATGATATTATAAACCACAATGGCCTAAAACAAAAACAGAAAATTCTTAAACAGGCAAAAGCTGCTCCAAAGTTATGTGAAGTCCAGAAGCTAGTACAGCATAAAAACCTGACTCTGCCTCCATCCCTGTCCTCTGGCATTTTATAACATGTTAAAGAAAAATGACAGCATTATCTTCTTGGCACCAAAGCTACACCTCCCAAAATACCAATGCCTCCAGGCTGTCCCCTGCTGCTCCCCAAATGGTCAACAGCCTTAGTCTGCTGCTCCCTGGGCAATAAGACCTAACAAAGCCTTTATTTCTGGCTTTAACCCATTGTCTGTATATAGCCTACAACTCTACAGTGTGGGACAAGGTTTGCCAGCAATTGACCACCCAGCTGCTATCTGGCTGCAGTAATCCAAAACTGGTGGATGATGATGATGATGGTGATAGTTATTATTTTATAATGATTATATTTTACATCTTTTTATTATTATTATATTGAACAGTTCAGTAACAAATTAGGCTGTGCAAAAATGGGAAATGCATACTGCATTTTCCTAAGTAAAAGAAGGTGCCTTCTAACCCCAAACCGAACACACCCAATTAACCCACAGCAATCCCGACCAACCCCAGCAACTGCCACCAAATCATTCCAAAGGCATAGCAGCAGTAAAATATAAAAAATGTAAGATACAATATAAAAATAGTAAAACGTTTGAAGTATTAAACTATTGGGTAAATTAAAAAGTAAATAAATGATGTATCATTTATATGTAATTTGATATTGATGTCATGATTTTGGTGGTGAAGAACAGCTCTCAGTGCATTGAGGGTTACCATAAAAGAACATCAGTACTTACTGAAAAAGCATTTAATTGTTCCGTGGTGCCATGCATGCTTTCTCTGCTTGCTAATATCAGAGCTGTATGTTAGGTCTTTCAGCTTTCTCCTTGTAATAATAATTTAAGCAAAATAGTACTAGTAAGTTAATAGTAAGTGGATTGGCTTATCCTGCGTAGGATCAGAATAAACAGATGAACAAATGCCTGGCCAATTCTCTTTTTCAGTGGTGACTTGACTGTAACAGGGACGGACAACTGCACCTTTGATATCTGCCAGAAGGCTCTGGGGAAAGATGATTTCACAAAGATCCCAAATGGGGTGAACGGTGTAGAAGACAGGATGTCAGTTATATGGGAAAAAGGGGTGGTAAGTGGCACTTCTTTCACTCTTATATACAGCCAGAGTACAATAGTAACAGTAACAGTTCAGATATATGCCTAAGTTGTCCTAAATTCCCTAAATTACCAGAATTGTCTGAGATGGCCAGAATATCCTAAATTCTGAACTGACCCTTTCATTTCCCCTGGCTCAGCCTTCTCCAGCCTAGTTCCATCTATTCCATTGATTTGCTTTCTGTATACACCAATAGCCAAAGCTCCATAGATGTGTCGGAAGTTCAACTCCCATAATTCCCAGCATAGCTACATCTGGGAATGATGGGACTTGTAATCGGGATGATTCCAGGCTAGGGCAGGATGCCCAAGCTTACTGCATTTAAACTAAATATTTCCAAAGATGTGCATTGTGGAGTTATGTGACTAACTTTTCCCCTTCCTGGAAAGGAAAGGGCGGGACACAGTGGTGCAAGCCCCCATGACCTTCTGGCTTAACTGTTGCAACATGTCTCTGCATGTGGCTGCCTGGAAGGTCATTTGGAAGTGGCTGCTCATCTGGATTGTGACACGAGGATTGCATCACATCACTTATGTAAACTCCAAACTGGTTAAACACTTTGCTTGAGAGCCAAATCCAAGGTGTTTGTGCTCCCTTGAAAGCCCTTTATTGAGTCTGCCCAGGATAGCTAAGGGAGCCTATCCTTCCATATAATCTTCTGTAAGCAATAAACCAGACACGACTGCATTGTATGACTTTTTGTTGTGGTGGTTGTTGTTAAAAAAAAAAAAAAGATAATAGGCATGGAGGTTCCAGCCTGGATTGGGACCCTGACATAAATCCAGCGGGATTTAACCCTTTTCCTCCCTCTGCAGTCTGAATTGGGGTTTGGCACCTCTTAACTGCATTGGAAGCAAGCCGGTCATGCTGATGAAAGCTTCCTGCTGAATGCAAGTAGCAGATGTTGCAGATGCCGGTTAAAGCTCCTTTCCCCCAGCAGAGCCTTGACCCAGGATTGAATACTTGTGCCTGATATTTCCTTTCAAAAAACCATTCACGTTATTATTAGTTGCATGAAAGCCATCAGCTCATGCTTTGGCCCTTAATTCCACCTTTTTTCAGGTTGGTAGACACCACAGCAAAGGCTTTCTTTCCCCAAATTAGAGAACAAATTGCCTGTTGAGGTCCACAAGCTTCAGGAGGTCAACCTGCTTAAGCAGTCTTTAAATGCCTGTTTGTGTATATTTTGTTCTCCCATTTCAGAATAGTTATAGTATAAGATGGGTTGTGATTTTTCTGAATGCAACATGCATAACTGAGTAGACAGCAATGTCATTTATTATCCAGTTGATGCCCGTGGTAGCTACTTTCCCCTGAGCGAAATGATCCAAATTCCACGCAAGAGTTAGTATTTTAAGGCAGAATCCTATACAAGTTCAGACAGAAAAAACTTTGCTGACTAGGGCATTCTGGAAGTTATAGGACTTTCTCTATCATAGGACTGTATCCCTAAAGGAGAAAGGACAGAGATCTCTCTGGGAGGGTTCCTAGAGACTATTGTTATTTTGCAAAGAGCTTCCCCCTTGGTGCTTTATTTGAATTCTTAAATACATAGTTGGAAGGCGATATTTTGCTGTTGAAATGTCCCATCCAGCAGTTTTCTGGGTTCTTGTTTTGTTTTGTTTTGTTTTGCCCCATATCCTTCTATATTAATATGTGCTTTTGGCTTCCCATACTGTTTTACAGCATAGCGGCAAAATGGATGAAAACAGGTTTGTGGCAGTTACCAGCACAAATGCTGCTAAAATCTTTAACCTGTACCCAAGAAAAGGGAGGATCGCTGTGGGATCTGATGCTGACATTGTCATTTGGGACCCAAAAGCTACAAGGTAGGGGCTGAGCGAGCACATCGAATCTGTGCGTCCTGTCTGTGGGCAAAGCCTTAGGAATGCATTTTTAGTCATAAATCCTGATGATGGGCTGACATCCCATTTGAATAATTCACAAGATATTTGGTGCTAGCTGCAGCATATCTATGCAAAGGGTTTTGTCTAGGCATAGCGATTAAAGATCTATCCGGACTGCTGATCATATAGGAAAATAACAGTGCTTGTGCTTTTACACTAATTGCTGTTTTCCTGAAGATGGTAAGTGATTAAAAATAATCCCCAGATGATTGCATTTATGGACTAGTTTATACCTACATTGTAGTGCCTAAATATGTCTAAATTATGAACCAAGGACTATCACATGCTTTGCTAAAGATACAGTAGGCAAGCTAGACTTGCTGTAACCAAATTTAAAAGGTCCAGACTCAGCCTCTGGCATCTCCAGTTAGGTCTGCAAGAGTCTCCTGTCTAAAACCTGGACAACCTCTGCCCTTTCAGTGCAGACAGCAGGGATCTAGATTAGGAAGACTGAATCTGAGGCCCTGCAGGGACCCAGCACCTTCCTCTGGCCTGTTCCTTCTTCCATAAATGCCCCCCCACCCCACCCCACCCCACAGCACTGAAAAAGCTTCTCTTCACAAGTGCTCAGAAGGGGGAAGCACTTATGTTTGATCACCTTCTGAATGGAATAAGAACATATGCCTGAGCAGTGGGGACAGTGACAGAAGCTGCTGAGAGGTTGAGTCCAGGGTGTTTCTCAGCCCTGCCCTTCAGATGGTGGGCCTCCTTACGTCTGAGTACACATGCTATTCGTGCTTACCTCTGAGAAAACATGCATAGGTTTGCTATTTAGAATGCTGTTTGAAATTAATGCTGAGTGATTCTTTCCTGCTATGCCTGACTGGATGTACAGAAGCTTATTTGTGAGTAGGCATGCTGCTCATGCTTGCTTCTGAGTAGACCTGGTTCCTACTATAGATGCACACCAGTGGAATTTCTGTGCTTGAGGTTTTTAGAGCCTCTGTTACCTTGGTCTGTTGCTTCAGTCACTGCTAGAATGCATCTCCAAAGAATTTCTCCAAAATGGAATCTAGCCCTCACTTCCCATCCCTGATCAAGAGGGATCAATGCCTAGTCTCTCCAATTTAGGAAAGAAGAATCTGCAGTCTTCCAGGTGTAATGTGGTGTCCTGCAACAGCAGTGGGTTGAACTCGATGGCCATCATGGCCTCTTCTAACCCTTCTATGCTATGATTCTAGGTGTTGTTAATTCCTGACCACTGGCCATTCAGATAAGGGCTGATGGTAGTCATAGTACAACATATGAAAGGAAAGAGGTTTCCTTTCTCTGGCATAAGGCAATTTTTATGGCTGGGCATTATTAGAAATAGGATATTGCCTTAAATCAGCCTTTCCCTACCTCATTCTCTCCATATTTTTTTAAAGTACAATTTATGGCTGGGATAATTGGGAGCTGTGGTAAAAGCTCTGGAGAATCCAGGCTGGAGAAGGCCAGCTTTAATAGTTTTTTTTATCTGATCCAAGAGGGCTTTTCTAATGCTTACAAGTGGCTCTAAAGCCTTGTGACTGGTTCACACATTCACATACTTCCACTGATTCTTCTGTATTTTATTTCTGTATGTAACACACCTGATCTTCAGAGCCAAGCAGGCCTTTATCTTATTGATGCAGAGAGTGAGAGAATTTTACACCAGAAGACAGCAAGAGTAACAAATCTTACATCTGATTACTTCCAGTTGTCAATATACCTGGACATGGTTCAGCCATACATGTACATCCAATGATTACTGTGTATCAGGTAACTGATACCTGGATATACGCACTGCACCTATTGAAAGGCACTTGGTTTTGAGAATGTAAGGTTAATTAGAACATTGGTTTACGATTTTAGATTTCTGAGGAAGGTCATTCTCACAAGCAAGTTCTTGCATTATGTTGTGGGCATAAGGCAATGAACATGGACCAGCCCATAGTCAGAGAAGTCTAGAGACAGAAACCAGCACTGTAGATGAAGACATTTTAACTTTCTCCCTACGGCACTTGCCTCCATATTGCAAGCCTTTCGTTTCCTGTGATGCGCCATGAGGGCAGACAAACCAAAATGCTGGTGTGTTCACGATGGGTGGGGAAAGGCAGACGGCTCCTCCCTGTGGTGGGTTGCTGAGGACAGGCAGGTTTCCATGGAAAGCGTGCTCAGACTGCTGCTTTGTAGCCTTTTACATGTATAACCTTAAACCCTGTTGGCATCAGGGGAATTTCCTTTCGTAGGAAAGAGTTGTTGTTGCATAATTATTTATAAAATCACCAATTTGCAGAACCCTTTACAGGGCAATGAGTGAGGCAACAGCCTGCAGTGGTGTGTGGGACACTAGCTTTGCCCTCTTTTAGCATAGTCCATCTCACAGAGCTGTTGTGAAGACAAAGACGAGCGATAGGCACCACCTGGACTTCTTTGGAGGAAGGGCAGGAGATTATTTTTATTTTATTTTATTTTATTTTATTATGCATTTGCATTAAAATATTTTAGGTTGCCATTAAGGGTCATACCTATACAAACATATTGGAGTATTCAACTAGGCAAAAAATATGTGTATAACAAAATAGGATAAACCACACAGATGCAAAACAGATGACCTAAGCCTACGGATTATGGGAAGGCCAGCAAAAACAGCGAGGTCTCTGAGCCTTCTTGAACAACCTGACACCCCTCGAAGAAGCTGATCCCAGAGGTGTAGGGCAACATGGAAGAGGCCCTCTTTCTTGTACTCAGAAGCCTAAATCCCCTTGGCAGCAGGCAAGTGAGAAGGTTATAATAAATATATGAAGAAGGCCCTTGCCCTTGTAGCCACTTGAAGCTGGCTATACCCTTGTACTAGGACCGGAAAACCACCTTGGGTATAGGCAGTGCAAGTGACTCAGGTAGCAGGTTCTGTGGCACTCCTACTGTGGGCTGGAGTCACACCTGCACTCCCTCCTGCCTCTCCCAATGCACCCCAGCTCACAGACCTGGAAGTAAAACCGCTCTTAAGGAAGGGTGGAGTAGCTTTTAGGTTATGCTTGTTTCTTTGTTTACTGTATCTCTATACTGCCAAGTAGCCAAAGCTCTCTGGACCGTTTGCAAATGTTAAAACCATAAAATTTAGGAATGGAATAAAACATAATGTAAAACATTTACAAGTTTAAAATTATAACCAAACTAAAAAGGGAAGCCAGCAGCACTATAAAGATCTAAAAACAGAAGAGCACATTTTTGAATTTCAAGTACTGGAAGGCTGAAGTTCCTGGGAGAATACCTAGGTCTTCACCCGGTACCAAAAAAGTCCACAGCATAGGCACCAGGAGAAACATTTTGGGTATGGCATTCTACGACCAGGGGGCATCTCAACTGAAAAAGCAAACTTCTTGGTAGCCAGCCAACTCACTTTGCTTGGTGAGGGTACCCAGATGATAATCTTGGAGTCTAGACAGGTACATAATATGCACCATAGAGAGACATTACCAAATACTGCTGCCTTTTACTGGGCTTGTGGCACATTTTCCCAAAAGGCTGGCCTTCATTGCATTACATTTTGATTTCAGAGATGCATTTCTCCTCCTGGGAATGCTGTTCAGTGAAGAAGACTAATTTTCCTTTCCAAGATAAACTCTATAATTTATGCAGGGGAAAATGCATCTGTTGGCGTCTACCCTGATCCTACCTCCACTATGGTCTATCCATTAGCCCATAATGAGTAAGACTGAGATGATGAGTAGCTTATGAGCATTTAATTCCGACTATGTAATTTATTTATTAATTAATTACTAAAATATTTTAAGCTACTTTTACCTTGTGGATAGCAGAATCAAAATCATCCTACAATCTACAGTAAAAGCAGTAAAGAAACATCACATATTTTAAAGAACCCAAAAGGACAGTAGTTGCAAAAAACAAAGAGAACATATCAACCAATTAAAACACCTGGGCAAAAAAAAAAAAAAATGGTTTTATGCTGGTGCCAAAAATAGGATAAAGTTGACTTGTTGCATGGCTTACATTTTACCAGAAGAGGGAGCACATGCACTAGAAGTTATACAACAGCCAGCCTTCAGCACCTGAAATACTGTCCAATGATGATAAGCAGGTATCACCAGAGCATTGACCATATTTGAGCAATTCAGATCACTTTTAGGGTTGGTATTTATCTGTTGAGGCAGCATGAGTTGTCTGTCTCTCTTTGTATGAAGGCTTCCTATAGACCATCACTTACTCTGCAGAGACCAATCCGCTGCCGATCTCTCCAACATCCCCACTGGTAGGTGTCCAGTGATGCCAGATGCAGCTTTTGAAATCCCAGTGGATCTTGCAAGCCTACATCCAGGACTGATTTCCAGTAGGAAAAAGGGCACCACCATGACATCTGAGCAGACAAAGTAGGATTGGCATCAAGGGATGCAGGACTGACAGAGAAATTAGAAGTCAATACCATAAGTGCAAGGCTGAGAAAGGAAGAGGGGATTATAAAATATTTAGGAGGGAGTTTGCTGACATTTCAGATCTACTAGAGGCCCTTTGCTCCTTCCTAAAAACTGGCCATGTCTAGCAGGACTACAAAGAGCCACCCCCCTCTCCAAAACTATGATGTCTTTTTCTCCACAGTGAATAGGGCCCCTTTTTGTATTGCAGACTTTCATCCCCTAATCTATTTATTTATTTATAATAAATAAAATTTCATGTAAAATTTTTGTATCTGCCCTTTGCAGTGTCTGGGATGCAGGGAGCACCAGCTGTTAAAACCCCATCCTATTGCTCATCTGTGCTGAATGGATTTCCAGGTTGCATGCTATAGTTAAATGAAGAGATGAAGCTAAGAGAAAAGGGCCCAAGCAAAATATTGAAATGATTTATACTGTCCAAGTTCTATATTATGGAAGGAATTAGCATCCTTTTTTAAATGCTTTTTGGGGAGAGAAAAGGCATCATGTTGGAAAAGAATTAGGCTA